AAACAATCAATACGAAACTAACAATTTTAAATTGGCTCACTACTTGACTAGCCTATTGGTCCCAAGCAAACGATTAACGTACTCCATTCTAGTCAAAATTCTAGTACTACGCAATGTTTGTTTTGATTCGCTATGAAAGTTTGACAGATAAAATGAGGGGCTCGTGGATTTTCCACGTGTTGGTTATACCACAACAACAACACAAAAAAGGGGTCATCTTTTAGTCAGTTAATTAGCATGAAGTACCACATATGTTATGTGCAAATACCCTTCAATATGGGTATGTTTGGAATCGGGGTGAAATCCAAGATGGTGGCTTACGGTTGTAGGAAAACTGGGAAATTCTGGGAAATACCCTTTAATATGGGTATTTTCCGAATTGGGATGACGTATAAAGACTGGAAATCAATGTCAGACGCCATCTTAAAATTGATGATGGTGGCTTACGGTTGTAGGAAAACTGGGAAATACTACACGGATTGAAATTTCCTTATACCTTTTGGCAAATTTCTATATTCTATTATTCATAAAATGTATAAGTTGCCTTGCAAAAAGTTAATGAAGATCAAGTGTCGAATGAAATGTATAAGCGGTCACACATACCTTTTATGTATTCTTATAGGACCTATGTGGTTTGCGTATGGAATGTATAAGGCTGATGTTTTGGCAAATGAAACACATGAATAAAATAATTGATTTTCGTTTCGTGTAGCAAATACCCTTCAATATGGGTATGTTTGGAGTCGGGATGACGTATGTAGACCGGATATCAATGTTAGACGCTATCTTGAAATCCAATATGGCGGCTTTCGGTTGCAGAAAAACTGGGAAATACTGTCAAATACCCTTCAATATGGGTATTTCCGAAATCCGGGTTACGTCTGGAGACCGGAAATCAATGTATGACGCCATTTGAAATCAAAGATGGTGGCTTCTGGTTAAAGAAAACCTGGAAAATAATGTCAAATATCCTATGTCTTGTAACGTGCCAGTGCGGTGTTACTCTCAGCACTGATGAGACTCCCGTCTCCAAGCCTCAGGGTCGGCACACACTCGTGACAATTCCGCGAACCAAGAAAACACTTAAAGTTCACTCAAGACCAGTGATGCAAAATATCATTACACTCACGTGACACTCGTCTTCGCATCAACCGACTATCGCTGACAGATCGTTTTGTCACGCAGTGAGAGTTAGAGCCATGGCAAACAACAATCACCAGTAATGGTCGCTGCTCACAAGCAAAACGTTACACTCGCTGCTGATGATGAAAAGCAGAACGAAAACAGTGAAGACTTCTGCAGTACGATCATGAGAAAAAGCGAAACGACAGAAGAAAATGAAAACAATGCCTACGCATTCCAAATTCGTCATCAACACACTCACACCTAAGCAAGCAAAGCAACAACTGCTTCAAAACGAGCACATAAGAGTGTCGTGATTGTCGGGAATGACCAGATCAGTGATGGATCACCACCAAAGACGACATTCACCCGTTGCTTTTTACTTCTTTCGTCAAGTTGATGAATGGTCATGGAGAGAGCTTCGACGAGCACATTGATAGGAATGTACAAAGCGTTACTACCATCAGCTGTTTGGCGATCGTGATTGTGATAGGTCGCAACTCTGCTCAAGACAAACTCCCACTTTAATCGCTTTTATTAACACTCACTTCCTTCTCACTTCACGGACGGTCTAGATTATGACGTCTCCCACTTCCTTAATCGATTACTCCTACCTTGTGCTAGCACTACTCTTCGTTTTTTTTCTTCGGGGCCCCTTCACCTGCCACTGCCGTCGTCGTCGTTCCTCTCCTTCCAATGGTACCGCGTCACCTTCTTGGGCCAGGGGTTGACGCTTCCACCTGTCCCGTACGGCCCTCGAGTATGGTGACGGACTCGAGGCTTCAACGAACCACAAGGGTAAGTTGGCTTGCCTGGATTGGCGGCGCACACTGTAGCTGTGGGATCAGGTTAACGATCTACGATTCGGACACACTACCGGCGATTACGAAAATACGTTAAATAAGTAAACGTTACGGTAAAACCACGAGGTCCTGGCTGTCCAATTGTACGTGGCAACTTCCTCTACAACTCCTTTAAACTTTAAATTTAGCTCACTTTAGTTTTCACAATCAAATTATAGGTTTTTAGCTCTGACTTTCGCTGTGTCCGTAGTCTTTAATGATCACCAGGCTTATGCCTGTGCCTCTTGGTGAACGATGATCCCGAACTGTGACCGTTGAACCGTCGTACGTGCCACGAATTCTTCACACAATGGCCCCCATTACGCCACCCCTATGGACGTCCATTCATGACTGCATCTACAATTTATAGGGAAGTGTCTCCTACTGGCTGCGTTCGTGGGGATTCTGGGACGTTTAACCTTTTATGAACATTTAAACTTTTTCTTGGAATTTAATAACTAAATATACGAAAACTACACGCGATTAATCTCACCAATCTTGGACGCAACACTTACACTTTTTACAGTCTAGACGTAACCTCGATTCCGGAAATACCCATATTGAAGGGCATGTAGCAATTTTTGGTTCCGTGACCCCATCCCTGGCACTGACGGCACTGGGTGTGGTTTTGGAAACTTCCTCCAGTCTTCCTGAAGTGTTCTCACTTCACTCGGACAATCCCGTTGCGCAAAACACCACGACGGGATTTCATTTTCATTTTGATTACTTGGACTGGCACAACTCCAAGCAATTTTGCCAGTTCATCTTTGATCTGATCCAGGGATTCACCACTGGGCAGACCTTTCAAGACAACCTTGAACACATGTTCAGTTTTGATGTCGTAAAAGTGGTGCTGCTTCTCAGTAAGATACTTGAGAAGACTTTTGAATCCGTCCAAGGTTCCAGCCAGCCCAAGGAAGACAACCCTATGTCCCTATCAGAGACGTGTTGGGTACCCGCGATCTCTTCTATATGCAGTCGATTTATGTGTTTCTGCAAATGTCTAGTATAAGCATTTAATCGTTTGTCTTTTGAATCTCTTTATTAGTTTTTGTTTGTCTTGTCCCCCATCTAGATGAGTCTCATCGTCGCCCACTGGTCACAATAGCCGGTCGAACTCCAGACGAATATAGAACCACACTAGGGGAAACAGTCCTATTGTTGCGATACGTTAGAAGCGTTAGGAGCCAATTGATGTGTATGATGAGCCGTTGGTCCCCGGTTCATGAGTTGATGGGTCGATTGGTAGGGTCCAGGTGTGGCAGCTGCCTCTCTGGCGTCGGTAGCATTGGTGCTCAGCACGGAAAACAAGATCGACGGAAAGCAAACCAAGGAAAAAAAAAATCCCCGAGTATTCGGCCCAGCTCCTACATAGAATTTAGTTAATTTTGTTACAAACAAAGAGCAATTAATTATCGGCTCCGTAAAGCTAACGCGATGGAGGCTTACAAATAAACGAACTAGGGGAAACAGCCCTATTGTTGCGGTACGTTAGCAGCGTTAGAAGCCTATTGTTGTGTATGGAGGTCTCCATACACAACAATAGGCTTCTAACGCTGCTAACGTACCGCAACAATAAGGCAATTTGCAGTGCAGTTCCGTGCAATGAGCATGGAAATCGAAAGTAGTTATCACAATTGGGGGAATCTTTTCATTCTTGGCATTGAGCCTAGAAAGTTCATCCGTCATCCGTGGGCAAATCAAATTGATTGCTCAAATAAATTTCATCAGAAGGGGGATCAAGAGATTGTCCTTTTTTTTTGCGCTTAGGCGCCATGGTGGCAGTAAAACGTTTATCCAAATCGACTTTCACGCAGTTTTCTATAAGAATCTGAAGGATCGAAGAGGAATTTTCCAAATCGATATCCAAGCAGGATTACCACGGGTAGGATCCAAACAAGGATCGAAGAGGAATAAGAGTCGAACTAGGTAGAAAATTTACAAGTATATTGAGCACTAAATAGTGCTGTTTAAATTTGTTGTAACAAGCGGTGCCGGTGGTATAGTGATAAGCGTGATAACCTCTCACCCCAGCAGGGGGTTCAATCCCAGTCGGCGCCGCCGGGATGTTCTGAGACATAAAATCTATGATCACGCCTTCGGAAGTAAAGCCGTTGATCTCCGGTTCATGAGTTGATGTGTCGATAGGTAGGTTCCAGGTGTGGTAGCTGCCTCCCTGGCGTGGTGCTCAGCACGGAAAGCAAGATCGACGGAAAACAAATCAAGAGAAAAAAATGTGTTGTTGCTTAGGTAGCAGTCACACTTCTTTCAGCAATAGAGCACGATGTGGACTGAACCTATAGAATACTGATAATACCAGCATAATGCTGTATGAGAAAAGCACAACAATCCTTAAGGTGTCCGTCTTACCCCCATTCCCCTACCTATAACAATTGGAATTGATAAATCAATTCTATTTGCCTTGCAAAGTGACCTGGGTCAAACTGACCACATTGATTATGACTATGAGTTTTTAACTTCGGAAGTCGGAGTCCAAAACACTGGGGTAAAATGGCACCGTGCAGTTTTTCATATAAATTTTTTCTATCAATATTTGAATTTTACGAGCAGTACTGCTAGTTTAGCAATAACCTAGAATTTCGACACATTAAATCCTAGAATTATTAATAAGAAAGTAACGAAAAATCACACGAGGTCTTTTTACCCAAGGATGCATTATGGACTGTTCTCCGCGACCAGTTGAGACAGTCACCTTTCAAATTTGGCAACAAGTACGAACATTTAGTGTTGCCCAAATCGAACCGTGCCAAAGTCGAGCGGTTTTATTTTGAAATGTTATTTATGATTCCGTGGATTTTGGACCACCGTATGTCATCTGTATGACAAAGACGATATTAATTATTAATCTTTTATTAAAAATTGTAATCACAAGGAGCATGGCAATCGAACGAGTACTGTATCGTCATACATTGTACGATAGCGTTAACTGCATCTGCGTGCACAATGATAAGAAATGCGTTTTATTCGTTAATTACAGTGCAATTTAAAGCCTTATCAAGCTTTCTTTCTTTCCAGCCCCACAGCAACAACACGTTGGATATACACGGTAATGACACCGTGGCGAAGAAAATCGCCCCAGTTCGGGACAAATGGGGCAAAGATGTGGAATTCATGCTCTCCTGCATAGCCTACTCGGTGGGATTCGGTAATGTGTGGAAGTTCCCCTATACAGCTCTCAAAAATGGCGGAGGAGCATTCCTGATTCCATACCTGGTGGTGCTGTTCATCGTTGGACGACCAATATACTACCTGGAGATGGTAATGGGACAGTTCTCCAGCCGAGGATGCGTCAAAATCTACGATCTCAGTCCTGTCATGAGAGGTTAGATGTAAAATATTCGCTCCGTTTCAGCGTAATAACTTTCGAATCCTTTTAGGCATTGGTGTTGGTCAATCGATTGCCATGTTTATCGTCATGACCTACTACACACCGGTACTGGCAATCACCTTCCGATATTTGGTGGCATCGTTCAGCGCCGTTCTGCCTTGGGCCAAATGTGATCCGTCCTGGCCCAACTGTGTTGATTCCGACTTTGTCGGACAAATCGTGTCCAACTCCAGTGTTCCACCGAAAGCCTCTGCGGAACTGTACTTTTTGTAGGATCATCGAGTCTTAAATTTGAATATTCATTACAATTGAGCACATTTTTCAGAAACTCTGTGATGCACAAAAACGAATCTCTCTACGAAGGTCTCGGTTTTCCGGATTGGAGGCTGGTACTCTGTCTTCTGTTTGCATGGCTGTGCGTGGCCACCATTCTGATCAAGGGAATCAAAAGTTCCGGAAAGGCGTCCTACTTCCTGGCCATCTTTCCCTACGTGATCATCTTGATTCTTTTCGTCCACGCTTGTACCCTGGATGGGGCGTTCAATGGGATTCTCTACTTCCTAACGCCACAGTGGGATCAACTGCTGAACGTTACGGTACGTATCTGTTATACACTTGTGTTAGCGTCCGCCGTCGGCAGCCTGATGGTATGCAACCGATGTAACCGTTTTTATAACATTTTTCAGGTGTGGTATGAAGCCGTTACGCAGTGCTTCTTCTCGCTGTCGGTTTGCTTCGGTGGGATCATCGCGTATGCGTCGTTCAACAATTTCTCCAACAATGTTTACAAGTGAGTAATGAGACTTTATTTTTATTTGAAAATTATTGGGAAATCAACCAGGAAATAAGTAAAACCAGAAGATCTAGGGGCATAATGAGCGCGTTTCAAGCAGGTGTGTGTATAATTTTTAATGAACGGCGGTAGACATCGAAAAAGATTTTAAATCTAGAGAATTTGGAGATTTGGGCGTAATCCCTTTGGTAAACAAACACGTAAATCGCCGATTTCTCGCGAATAAAAGCTCAATCTTGCAAACGAACTATGCCAAATGATGGAGAAATAATTCCTCTACCTGTTTGTGGTGTTCGTCTTTTAGATTGAGCTTTCATTCGTGAGCAATCGGCGATAGACCGGTTTGTTTACAAAGCCAATTACGCCCTAATCTTGAAATTCTCCGGAAATGCATGGTGGATTGTCTAGAAGAATAAAGTAGCTTAATTTTACCTGCGTAAAGTTAAATAAGCATTTTTTAACTGAATAATCCTATATTGTATTGCAAACCCAATTAATCCACCTAATGGTGGCAAATGCCTTTCTCAAACAAATCAGTATACCACAGAGAAGTTTCGATAGCTGATGGTTCGTCTCCCTATAGCTGAAATGATTACAATTTGGTCAAATTGATGTAGATTCGGCTAAGTCATTCCTAGATATTTCCTTCACAGTTCCTTAAAAGAAACTAGCGGTCGTACATTCGTATTGGACACAAGATCACAACCACAATTAATATAACAGCTAGTTCATATACAAATTTGGTTTCTCGTTGGTAGTACTGTGTAGATGAGTAATTGAGTGAGGTCCCAATTTAAAAGTAGTTGCTTCATAGTGCGTATATTCAGTGCACTAGCATTACTGCGGGAGGTTTTTATGTAATTATTTAGCGTAAATAAATGGAACCAGGCTTGCAATTGATCATTACAGCTAAAATGCTATTTTTCGTTATTATGAAACAATGGGATACTATAATGATAATTTTTATTTTTAAGATGCAAGAAGAGGTGATAAAGTTTGTGTATGACATATAAAATTTGTCAATTTTGCTTTCAAAAGGTCACAGCTAGCGATTAGCTGTAACGATGAGCAACGCAATGAACGAGCAGTCAGCGATCATACAATCGCTAGTAGTGACCTTTTGAAAGCAAAATTGACAAATTTTATGTGTCATATACAAACTTTATCACCTCTTCTTGCATTTTACAAATAAAAATTATCATTATAGTATCCCATTGTTTCATAATACCGAAAAATAGCATTTTAGCTGTAATGAGCAATTGCAAGCCGGAATGGAACAGTACTGAACTGACATAGTTAGCCGTCTTAGTGACATAATAGCTCTCATCGATAGAGATCCTCTTTTTTCATCTTCTTCTTTCCTTTACTTAACGTCGGGCTCTGTTACGCAATCTAGTGCCAATCACCGACGGACATCGATTGCCATCCATTGACGACAATCGAATGTGCAGATTGCCATCCATTGACGACAATCGAATGTGCAGATTGCCATCCATTGACGACAATCAAATGTGCAGGAAGGCACCTTCCACACCTGCGTAGGATATCGCATCCATTCAAACACACACATGGGCCGGGACCAATGGCTTTACTTCCCTTCCAAAGGAAGACGTGACCAATGATTTTTATGCCTCAGAAAAATCCCACCGAACTCGGCTGGGATTGCAGTCATGCTTACCACTACACCACCGGCGCCGGCTGAGATCCTCTTTCGTCCACTTTGAAAAGCCGCCATTATTTGCGTCAATACTTTCAGCGAAGAAAACCGGTTACATAAAGTTCATAACAGTTTTCGTCGGTAGGAAATAGAAATATTAAACGAATACAAAGTGGATATGATCGATCCTGGATTAAGTTTCGCGAAGACTTGATCAAGTTTCGTTGACGTAAATTGATCTTATGTATGCGTTTTCTTGAATTCTCGTATTTATTTTCTGGCAGAGGCCCACATCTATACAACGGTCAAATTCCTCCGCTACACAGATGGTCACAAATTATTTAATTTAGTCATCAGCTATTCTAATTATCTTTCATTAAAATGTATGCCATTTTATTTTAAGAAAATATCCACGTAGTGCGAGGAGAAGCCGGAGGAGCACGAAGATGGCGCTTAAACAGTCACTGCACTAAAATGCGAGTACTGTAAGAGAACTCCTCATGGTCTCTCGTCGTGCCCTGCGTACAGACAACGCGGGGAGAAACTAGAAGCGTCTCTTAATGAACGTTCTAGGCAGTCTTTTGCAGAAAAGCTTAAAGCTGGGTTTAGACACGGCAAGTCCATTGATCAAGTCAGTTGAATTCAACTGACTTGAACGCGAATTGAACGTGTAAACCATGCCATTCAACTGACTTGATTAACTCACTTGAATTGAAAAAAGTTGAACCAGGCTCAACTTGTCAAGCCAATTGAATTCAACTGAGTTGATCATTTGACTTGCCTAGTCTAAACCCCTTTTTTTATCAAATGTTAAATTCAGTCCTCTATACTCGATATTTGTGTTATATTGTGTTATATATTATTGTGAAATAAAATGGAAGGGTAAAAGTCTAGATGAGGAGAGATGATTGATTTGTATAGCTGTATTTTACTGGCAATAGTTAAATCGTTTTTCAGTCGACATAGAATTCCATACTTCATGGCAATTTTCTTGATGACATTGTCAATGTGAGTTGAACTTAAGTTTGTCATGCCAAGATATTTAACCTCAATTACAACAGAGACGTTCTCATTTACTCGATTCCGCGAAATTACCATAAATTTAGTTTTACTTGTATTCAATTTCAACTGCTTATACTTCAACCATCTACTTAGAGAACGCAAATCTTCATTCAAGTGTAAAACGGCATCATCTAAATCCTTAGCTGCAATGAATAGCTCAGTATCATCTGCAACAAGATTAATGTCGCAAAATCGTAAAACACGTCGCAAGTCATTAATATACATAATGAATAACAGGGGCCCTAATACACTTCCCTGGGGCACTCCAAGGTTATTCCCCACGGGACTGGAAACAGAATCATTAAAAACAGTCCGTTGAGTTCTGTCAGACAAATAGCTTTCAAACCATTTATGTGGAGTACTCGTAATTCCAAAGCGGTTGATTGATCTCAACAATAAGGGCCTAGAAATTGTTTCAAAAGCGGGTTTAAGATCCAAAAAAAACAGCAACAAACGTATCTCACTCCAAGTTATTTTTCCACTTCGCTAATACCAAATTCAACGCGGTTTCACAATAATGACCAGGCTTCCGGAAATCTCACGCGTACACAAATGCGACAGCGAGCTGTGAGACAGAGCGTCGCATGACTCTCAAATCCATGGAGTGCTACATTAATTGTACAAAAGAGAGACCAGAACGATGCGCGCGACAAGCTACACGCTCTCAACAAATTCAAGCGTTTCAATTTTTTGTCTCATCGCATTGCTCTCTCAATGCGACGCATGTATTCAATCACATGCGACTGATTCATTGCAACATCTCAATGCGCTCTCTCAGGGCGCCATCGCCGTGCGCTGTTTCGCATGCCTTGACTCTCGCGGTCCCATCATATGTGATGTTGTCGGGTGACGAGAGAAGGGACTGGAAGGGTTTGTTCACAGAAGACTTGTGTGCCCTTTTCAAATGGGGTGAAGTTTTTAAATGGTTCCAGAAATATCTTCTAGTATAGATTCAAGCAGACTCAACACATGGTTCCAGAGATATACTGGAATCACCGTAAGATCACCACTCATGATCCTAGGAAGACGCAATTGCTTGTTGAAAGGATGCTAAAGGAAGGTAAAGGAAGACTACGTGAGCGGTGGATGACAACCCTACGGTAGTTGGGATCAGGGATGGAAAATCATTTACATTCATTTCGTGCATTCATTTACATTCATTTGTCTGTAACTTTTTCCATCAGCAGAACACCGTAAAATAATGTATGAAGCTTTTGTAGCTTTTGATATTAGCTACAACTTTTGTGAATAATTAAAATCTGAATCTCTTATGCATGACGAACTAGAGCTGGCAGAACATGTTATTGTTTTTCAGTGAATGCAATTTACATTCACTGAAAAACAATGGTGGGTTCTTATCGCTCTGATTCATCATGCATAAGAGATACCGATTTGAGTCATTTAGATGTTAGATGTAGCTAATATCAAAACCTACAAAAGCTGCAAACACTATTTTACGGAATTCTGTTGATAAAAAAAGTTAGAGGCAAATTAATGTAATGAATGCACTAAATGAATGAAAATGATTTCCCATCCCTGGTTGGCCTTGAAAAGGGCCGTTTTGTTGGGCTGATGTTGTTGACAATGATGGAACGGGTGACCTTGTTGGACGCTTATATAGTAGAACAGAAAATATCAGAGGTGTCAGATACTCGCATACGTACGTTAAAATCTTTCTTGATAATGTTGTGGCCCTGAAAAGGGCCATTTTTCCAACGCACTCGGCGTAGTTGCCCTTGCGGAGCAGACGGTGAATACGACCGACTGAGAACTGCAGCAGCTGGGCATTCCATGACGGCGGCCCAGTATACCGAAGCACTGGCACCAACGCACTCGGCGTAGTTGCCCTTTCGCCCCCAGGCTCTGCTGCCGCTGCTCTGCTGCCGTTGCTCTGCTTCCGCTGCTCTGGTACTGCTGCTCTGCTGCTGGGTCGACGATCGGATAGACAATGATGGAACGGGCGACCTTGTTGGACGCTTATATAGTAGAACAGAAAATATCAGAGGTGTCAGATACTCGCATCTGATGTCTCGGTTGGAGAAAGTATAAGAATATAAAAAAAATCAATCGATTTTCACCATCTTTAGACAATGGTTTACTTTTAACCATTTTTCAATAGTTTACAGAATGAAATCAATAGTTTTGAAACATTCAACAAATTGCTAGAAATATTTCCAATCGATTGATGCCATTATCTCGTAAATCTATCGAGAGACGGTTGAGTTATTATTGTTCAAAATCTTTTAATTTTTCGTAACGCATCCAAAATGACTGTTTT